ATCGATACAGGGCTTTAGAATATCGATACAGTATCGGGAAATGAAATATCGCGATATCTCAGTGTATCGATATTTTCTTACACCCCTACTGTGGTATCAATAAAGTTTTATCTAATCTTATCTTATCTTACCAAATATAAGTTAACCTGAATATTATTGTTACAACTCACCTGAGTTCACTGTTTTAACAGGAGTTTTCTTTACACAAAACAGAGATTTGACTCATCTGAGTTCGCAGCATTTCTGAGTATTTGGCTGTTTTGTCAACGAGTCCACTTATTTAGATTTGGTTCAGCTTTCAAGAGTACATGTAGGATCAGGGTTAATTAATTAACCAGATCACAGGGAGAAAACCCACACGTGGACAAGAAAAAAAATAAGCAGAACACAAGCTAACTTCACCAGAACACAAGTTAAAATAATCAAAATGCAAACTAAAATGACCTAAAATCACTGAGCTCCAGTATCTGCTTCACTGTGACGCCCTTCTCAGCAAACAATCAACCAGTTCATGGTTTGAATACCCAACCTTAAAAAGGAACAACAGGTTTTATCTCTCTGAATAGTCTGTTCTTTTACTTTTAATAAATTACTCAGAAAAAACAAGTCGTTCTCATTGATTAATCTTTTTTGTTTTTTAATATTTGAAGTACCGGCCTTTTGTTTGTTGATTTTGAAGTTTCCAGAGGTCATTTCTCTGAACGTTGGGGGCACATACTTCACCACCCGTTTGTCCACACTGCGGCGGTACGAGGACACCATGTTGGCTGCCATGTTCAGCGGTCGACATTACATCCCACAGGACGCTGAGGGACGCTACTTCATCGATCGGGACGGGACCTATTTTACGTGAGTCTCATTTTAGACCCTAATGCAGGTTTAAAAAAAGACTAAAGGATCTATAATTTGATGCAAAAGGTTCAGAGATTATTAACCTATGGGCCGCGGCCCACAGCGCCACCTTGAGGGCCTCAAAAGAACAACAGTTTTTAACTTTGGGCCACAGAGGGCCGTGGGACCACATTGATTTTCAATAAGGTGCAATACACTTTCTCACCACTAGTAGCAGTAGTGCACCACTCAGAGGTTTATCATCATCTGTTTTTGCCGTGTAATATTTTAAAAGTTCAAAACATTAACAAATACAGCTGCAGATACAACTATAT